AGTCATCCCCCTGAAAGAAACAGCAAGTCTATTTTATCCAAAGTAATCCAAATGATGCAGTAGTTTCTGTTCATTTTATATAATTTGTGGTTATTTGAATAATTTATGTCATTTGTCTAATGGTCGCTGTAAATGATGTGGTTGACATTCAGGAGTAAAGGACACCTCCTCACCCAAATTGATTTGGTAAATTCAGATTTCACTGTTTGTTTCAGTGTTTAGAATTTTGTAAGCCAGCTGTTTCTGCTCTCCGTGCTCCTTGTTGCTTTTCAGGCTATTTTCTTCATTGGGTTACTTAATATTCGTAATGTTTTCTTTTTTTCAGCGTCGTCTCCGGCATTTGCGGAACATTGCAGCCCGGAATATTGTCAATAGGAATGGTTATCGCCTCCTGGACACCTATTTCACTCTTCACTTGTGTGACAATATAAATATATGTAAAGGTAAAGAGATGTCTGTTTCTGTCCCTTGATTCTTTTCTCTTTCTCTTCTCCACCTTTAGTTTGTCTTGGGAGTCTCTATTTAGAGCTCTTTATATTCTTTATATTTTGTATAGTTGGTGACTGAGAACTAGGTTGGGACTAGATATTATGGAGGAAGATTTCATTGCTCAACAAAACAATAACTTTCTATTCCTCTTCATCATCTTTATATCCAGCACGGGAAAAAGTAACCTTTTGGGCTGATAGGCTCATATGGAATTTTTAGAGCATGTTGTGAGGTTCTCATAAATGGGCTGTCCCCATTCATCCTTTGCCTCTTCCCTGCAGGATGTTTTGTTCCTCAGTAGCTTACTTTTCTCTCTCTTTTCTGGGTAGATTAGCATAATTCCAAATAAAGTGCTACTCTTTGGCCATTTACCATTTTTATTATTAAGAAGACCTGTGGCAATTGTGTGGAAGTGAAATTGATGTTAGAGGCTGGCGCTTTGCTTTGCAGCATGCTAGTTTCTCCTTTAACTTGTTTATTTAAAAGATGCAGTGGGGGTAGGAGACACTGTGGCAGGCTCCAAAAAAGGTGTGTGTAGATACCAATTTGCCTACTGCTAGTCTAGCAATCCAACTTAAGGTAGTTGGGTTGTGAATTATCTCTCACAAGTGGAAAGCAATGAAATGATGCAAGAAAATCACAGCAGGAAAACAGCGCATGGTATCTTAGTGGAAAGGCATGGGAGGAGGTATAATGCTACTCTTTTTAGGTGCTACTCATGAATCTCTATTTGCAATTCTGGTTTGATACTGATGTTTAAGACTCAGTTTTACAGGGCTAAGTCTGATGGGGAGGAGGTGGAAGGATTGCTTTCTCCTGATATGTGCTGGGTACACATATTATGCAGTGCTGTTATATGGTTTTGCTTTATCTTGTTGGGTGATTTGTTGTTGTTGTTCAGTCGTTAGGTCGTGCCCGACTCTTTGTGACCGCAGGAGCCACATCGCGCCAGGCCTTCCTGTCCTTCCCTGCCTCCC